CCCCAGTGGCACCGCCCGCATGCGTCTCCCCCACCCAGTACACCGCTTCTTGGCCCCATAGGGAGCTCCACCGAAGGCCCCAGCGGCACCGTTCGCGTGCGTCTCCGCCACCCAGCACAGCGCTCCGCGACCCCATGGGCGCTCCACCGAAGGCTTGAATGGCACCGTGCACATGCGCCCCCCCCCACCCAGTGCAGCGCTTCGTGGCCCCATATGGAGCTCCACCGAAGGCCCCCGTGGCAAAATCCACATGCATTCGCATGCGCCCCCCCCCCCCCCCCACCAAGCACCGCGCATCGCTGCCCCATAGGGGGCTCCACCGGAGGCCCCAGTGGCTGCCTTCACACGCGCCCCCCCCGCCCAGTACAGCGCGTCGTGACCCATGGAAGGTCCACCGAAGGGCCCAGCGGTAAATTTCGCATGCCTTTCCCCCACCCAGCGCAGCGCCGCGTGGCCCATAGGGAGCTCAATCGAAGACGATACCCACAAGTGCGGTATTCTTGTCTCGCAAAACCCACGCGGCGGCGCTTGCGATGACTGCTCGGCGCTAGCCCGCGCATCGCTGCGGCCGCGCTGGCGCGCGCAGGCTCTCGCGCAGGGCGGCTAGCTAGTCTGGCGCGACCGGCGCGGCCGCGGCGGCGCTGACCGCCGAGAACTTTCCACCGCGTCTCGCAGGCTGCGCTGACGCGCGGGCATCTCAGCGCATGTCGGCGACTCGGGCGGGCGGGGAACCATGGCGACGTCGACAAAGGCAGACATGCCGATAATAATACCGATGCTGGTGACGACGATGACGATGACGACGGCACGGCCAATGACGACGTCGACACTGATCACACCGGTGACGATCATGGCGTCCACGCGCGGGCGATGAAGGATTTGGAAGGTTTTCGACACGCGCGCGTGGCCGGCGGGCGCGAGTGGCCCGCGCGGAATTATTTCATTGGGATCGCGCCCACCCCCCAACGCACCACCACCCCCATGCAAGCGCCCAAGGGTATTCGGATGATTTCGGCACACGCGCGCGAGAGGCCCGCTGGGTCGCAATGGATGATAACGTTGAAAACTCATGGATGTCCTCAAGCATTCGCAAGAGCGCGCGCCTAAAATGTCCAGGAATTCCGGCGCGCGCGCGCGACAACGCGCGCACGTGGATTGTGTCGTTTGTTCAGCAAAGGGTTGTTGAACTAGTGGTCTGCCATAAACGAGCGCGCTCATAGGATTATTTGACGAGGATGCGGGGGGGGTCAACACCGGCCTGGCTGGGATGGTAGAGAGTGAACGATGGAGAAGAATCAGATTTTCACAGAACATCTCCAGGGGGGCGGGGCGATAACCCTTGGGGGAAATCAGCGTCGCGCAACTCCCCCCGTCGACACTGCCCCACTGCTCACGCAATCACCCCCCTGCCCACCAACAAGTTGCACGGCGAAACCCACGCGGCGGCGACAGCGATGATTGCTCGGCGCTGGTTGGCGCATCGATGCGACCGCGCCAGCGCGCGCAGGCTCTCGCGCAGAGCGGCCAGCTAGTCCTGCGCGACCGACGCGGCCGCGGTGGCGCTGACCGCCGGGAACTTCCCAGCGCGTCTCCCAAGCAGCGCTGGCGCGCGGGAACTTCAGCGCGAGTCGTTGACTCAAGCGGGCGCGGCTCGATGGCGACGTCGACAATGGCAGACGCGATGATGTTTGAGTCGGCGATGGTGACGACGATGGCGATGTCGACGGGGGGGCCGTTGACCGCGCCGATGCCGACCACGCCGACGACGGCGATGGCGCCCACGCCTCGGCGATGTAGGTTCTGGAAGGATTTCGACATGCTCGCGCGACCGACGTGCGCGAGCGGCCCGCATTATATTACTTAACATGGATCACCCACCCCACCCCGCCCCACCCAACCCCACCCACGCACCCCACACCACGCCCCCAGCCCCCCACCCTCCCCACCACGCGCCCAAGGGCGTTCGAATGTTTTCGACATGCACGCGCGCGAGAGGCCCACCCGGCCGCATGTCATGAAGAAGGTGCAGGATTCGTGGTTTGCATGAGAATGCGCGAGGGCGCGCGAGCGCTTCTTTGTAGAACCAAAAGAATGTTTCAAGACCACCGGCTGATTTGTTTTTAATGCGTTTGGGACAATCGATGTTGAAAACGAACGGTAACCTAAAGTTGTGGATGGATTCCGGCATGCGCGCGCGCGACGACGCGCACGCGCGTGCATTTAGTCAGCGTTTGTTTGAGGGGGGGGAGGGGGGGGGAACTGAAGATTTGTGACAAACGGGCGCGCGCGATAGCATTATTTGACAAGGATAAGGGGGGGCGTCTTGGCTGGGATGGTACGAACTCATATATAGAACCCGCGATAGGGCAGAATCGTAAGCAAATTGCGCATCTTGGGGCCAGACCAGGAAGTCCAGGGGGGAACTTAGTTTCTTCCGAAAGGAAGCATATTTCTTGTCTGCAGTGAGTTGTCAAATCTATTGCCCGCGCAATCATCCTACCTGCCCACCCACAATTCGTTTTGCAAAACCTACTGCGCGGCGGCGGTAGCCATGACCGCTCGGCGCCGATTGGCGCATTGCTGCAGCCGCGCCAGCGCGTGCAGGCTCTCGCGCAGGGCGGCCACATAGTCTGGCACGACAGATTCGGCCGCGGGGGAGCTCTCCGCCGAGAACATCCCACCGCGTCCCGCAGGCCGCGCTGACGCACTGGCGCTTCAGTGCTAGTCGGTGGCTCGGGCGGGCGCGGTATCATGGTCGAGAACGGCAGACACGCCGATCATAGTAGTGATGTTGGTGGCGACAACGACGGCGAGGCCAACGACGGCGCCAACGCTAATCACACCGATGGCGATGACGGTATCCACGTGTCGGCGACGAGCGTTTTGAGAGGATTCGACACGCGCGCGGCCGACGGGCGCGAGTGGCCAGCACGATTTTATTTTAATTGGACGGTGCCCCCCCTCTTCCACCATCAAGCGCGCAAAGGCATCCGAATCATTCCGACATGCGCGCGCGAGACCCCGTGTCGTCGCATGCGATGGAAAATACACTAATTGTTTTACCAAAAAAACGATGTTTGCCATGCGGATTCGCGAGAACACGCGCGCAGATTGTTGAATGTGTACGTCGCGGCACCACGCAGGCTGGATATGCTTCCAGGACCGTCGATATTGAAACCCGCACGGAGCCTAGGGTTTGTATGTTCGGCATGCGCGCGCACCGCCGCGCCCGTGAGGGTGCTATATCATTGTGTGCAAGGGGCTCTTGGACATGGATGCGTGGTGATAAACCGGTGGTCGCCCATAGTGTCATTGGACACGGATGAAAGGGGGTCGATAAGAGGTGGTCGGGATGATGCAAATTCACACTTCAGATGAACGATGGGGCAGAAACATTGGTAAATCGTATGATCCCAGCGCGGGAGGATAAAGTCGGGGTGGGGGGCCGGTGGTAAATCTTAAGTCTTGTTTAGAGAGGAGCATATATGTTGTGCAACGCAATGCACAGCATCAAAGCTCAATACGACGCAATGAAATGCGAAGCGCGGCGGCGACGGGGCGGCGACGGCGGCCACATAGCCGCCAGATCGACGCGCAAGCCCAGACGATGGGCGACGACGGGGCAGCGACGGCGGTCACATAGCCGCCGTAGCGACGCACAGGTCCAGACGAGGGGTGGCGACGAGGCGGCAACGCGGCGGCGACGGCGCCACATATTTGCCAGACCGACGCAATGGTCCAGCCATCTATTCCAGAAGTAATAATCCCTTAGTGCACAGATTGTTTGGGGAATAAAGAGCCAATATCTACCCTACCCCGTCGACCACCATTCAGGGGATAAAGAGGCTGGGAGGATGGTTGCAGCGCCCTGACTTCGATGGCTCCGCGTCGGGTGGCACGGCCTCCGTGTCAACCAACCCTACGTTTGATGTGCATGTCGAATTGAATGTTGATTGTAGTTCGATGTAGGTGTCGATTGGCATGTCGTTTGCAAGTGGGTTCCATGCCCAATTGAACAACCAAAGGACAGCCTGCGGGACATCCCACGACATTTTACGGGACAAATCACAAGACAATCCACAGGAGGATAACCCACAGAATCCACGGGACAACCCGCGGGACAACCCACGGGACATTTTGACCGAAGAACTTACGGGACAACTACGGGACAACGCACAGGACAACCGAGGGACAACCCCGGGATTGCCGCAGGACAGACGGGGCAGCCCACGGTGCAACCCACGAGACAGCCTCGAGACGAGCACGGGACATCCACAGGACTGCCACGGCGAGCCCCCGCGAGGAGAGGGGGACAGCGGCTTGTTACCAGACTTGGCCCTGGCCTCAGCCGACACATCATCGCTCTCGGGCAGTTTCGCATCGCCCGCACGGACGACACGAATCGAAGCCGAAACCGATTTCCTGGTTGGGGCCACTTCACTGACACAACCCAAGCCACGATCCATTCCAAGCATAGAAAGGTGTCAGCATGTCCATTGTTGCGCATCCAAGGCCATGTTGGAAACATCTCTGGGAGCCTCTTCGAGGGTCTCACGGAGCTTGTTAGGGACTTGGGCCAACTCGGGGGGCTTCTGGAGTGCGCGTTGGTCGTATTGGGCCAGTCGTTGGGCATACTGCTGCTGCCTTGGGGCGGTCGTGGTCTGGTCCGCGCCGGGTGTGGTCAAGAGGGGACGAGCATTCCCACCCCCTTCCTCGGAGGCGACGATAGGGGCGAATAGCCCAGGAGGGAGCAAAACATGTATCCAGGGGTGCCGATGATCTATGTCTTTGACAAGGCTCCCGGGCGAATACGTGTATGCCCGCCCCTGGGCTGTTCCCCCCTATCGTCGCCGCCGACTTCCCCGATCGATTGCAGGACGCACGAAGGCCGATGGATATCAGAAAGCAGCGTGTGTCAGGATCAATTGCGCTGTGCGCCTTCATACTTCTCCTTCCCACCTGCTCATGCGCGCCACTCCCGTGTCTGCTGCCTTCGGCAGGAGGCTGGATAGCTACGGCAGTCTGAAGAGAAGAGTCTGCAGCACGGCGCTGAAGATGGCCGACCGCTCTCCGTTGGCAGAGAAGGCCGTCAACTACAGCCTCAGGGTCTGGGGAGCGGGCACCTCTCTCCGGCTCGTTGTCGCCACAGTGAGGAGGAGAAGGATTTGGCTCACAGCGAGCCAGCGCCTTAGTCTCGATCCAAACGATGCCGCCAGAGCACCCACGTCTCACCATCAAGGTTGTTCATCGTGTGGCCGCCTTTGATCAGCAAAGGCTCGCCAACATTGTCTGTGCGCACGCGCGGAGCTACGACATCGCTGCGCGAGCCCGATAATGCAGTCATGTGTGAAAAGTATTGAGCGAAATTGCCGAACTCGGTAAACACTTTATGGATGCGAGCACGACTTGACGCCTCGGTCATGAAGGCGAAAGCAGCAACGTTCCCCGGGTGATCAACGCATGGCATGGTAAAGCAGACGAAGCATTTCCTGGCAGCGAGACTCGTACCAGGGCCGTTGCCATTGACCATAGATGTTGCGGGAGACGACGCACTACATCCACATGACGAAAGTGCTTCCTTTGGGGTCGGGATCGACGGTTTGAAGTCTTGACCCGACGCGTATGAGATAACCGCCGTCGGATCCAATTTAGTTTGCGCGGATCCGATTTTGGTTTCGGTTGTGTTTCGGTGGATCGGATTTCCTCCCGCACGGATCCGTTTTCGGATGTTGCGGATCCGATGTCCGTATTGTTTTTCGTATGCATCCGATTTCTAACCCATTTTAGATTTGTATTATTGAGTTGAAACGAGGAACGGGAAGCATTGGACCCGCGGACCCCGCAACCGCAACCCGCCCGTGTTAAGATTATACATGGGAGAGGGGTTCGGCTATCAATTTCTCATGATGGGTCCCGCGCTGGCACGCGCACCCCCATCAACTATCCGCGCGCGCGGGCCCGACTCAACATCAACACATCTATACATGTATATATATACATATGTGCATATATATATATGTATATATATAGATCCTCCTGGTTATTGCAAACATCTCGTCCTGACGCCGTACGTTCTTCGGCGGCGCCGGTGTTGCCTCGCGAATTATTTATCGTTGTTTTCACTTCAACTGGAAGACCTGCGTAGATACGAGTCGGTCCTGCGCTTCCTGATCCCAACGCCCAGTGCGTTTCGGTCCCGCGTCTCCTGACCCTAAACGCCCTCCTCCTCCCCCTCCTCCTCCTCCTCCTCACGATCTTCCATCTCGCTACAAGCGGCTACACGGAGCCGGTAAGTTTAGCGTTACTTCACTCTGCGCGACTCACGCAAAGGGCGAATGGGTCGCAGTTCGACGCCGTTGCGACCGCTAAAGAAACCCTCGCTGCACGCACACATGTTTGCTGGTGGGTCCTACTTGCTCGGACTCACTCGGAACTCATCCGAAACCGAGAGATCCAATCAGAGACGCTGGCCCCCAGCAGCTGTTAAATTGCCCAGGCGCTAATCTGGGGGGCCGACGGCCCTGCGCACAGTCCCAGCCAGCCCCCGAGGGAGCCGACGCCTCCGCACGCAGTCCCAGCCGGCCCTCAGGCCTGGCATCGCTCGGAAGTGTGCATTTTTCCTTCGGCGAGGACCATCGAGGAGCATCCCTGATCACTTGGCGAAAAAGCCACGCACGAAACCGAAAAAAAAACACAGGGAAAGGACGTCCGAGCGATGGCAGGTCAGGGGACCCGGCGGCCCCGCGCACGGCCCCCGCCGATCCCCCGAGGGAGCCGACGGTGCCGCGCGCAGGCCCAGCCGAGCCCCAGCAGACCGACGGTCCGCGCGCGGCCCCAGCCGACCCCCAGGGGAGCCAACGGAGGAGGAGGAGGAGGAGGAGGAGGAGGAGGAGGAGGAGGAGGAGGAGGTCCCGCGCGCCGTCCCAGCCGAGCCCGTGCTGCTGCTGGGGGCCCCTGGCCAGACCCCAGGGCAATTGGGACCTGGAGTGGTTCAGGCACGATTTGGCACAGGCCGTGTTGGTTTAGCAAGCTCTTCTTAAGATTCCATTCCCATATTGACGTAGTATGTGGACGGGATCTCGTCGAGCTCGGAGGCGCACGCACGGTGAGCGAGGCCCGACGAGGTCTGCGAGTTGTTTTTGCGTTCGAGGCCCTAGCTCCGAGGGGCCTCCCCCAGCACCCATCAGCCCCAGGTTGAGGTTATGTGCCTAGTGCTCTACGCCTCAGCGCCTAGTTTGTTGAATGCAGTGTGGTGCGCATTCGTGCTAACGCGGGCGTTGAAGGTTCGAGATGGGCCATAGAGTCCCGCAGGCTTGCCCGAGATGCGCATTAAACATATCAGCAGCAATTGTCACGGTTAGAGCACTCACCCACACGGAGGTGGGTTGGACAGCGAAGGCTACGGTTGCCCAGATCTTATGTGTTTGCTCCTCCTCCTTCTCCTCCCCCTCCTCCTCCTCCTAACCCTCCTCCTCCTCCTCCTCCTCCTCCTCCTCCTCCTCCTCCTCCTCCTCCTCCTCCTCCTCCTCCTCCCCTCCTCCTCCTCCTCCTCCTCCTCCTCCCTCGCCCCTCATCCTCCTCCTGTTCCTCCTCATCCTCCTCCTCCTTCTCCCCATCCTCCTCCTCCTCCTCCTCCCCCTCCTCCTCCCTCCTCCTCCCCCTCCTCCTCATCCTCCTCATCCTCCTCCCCCTCCTCATGCGTATTCGCCTCTTCCTCCTCCTCTTCCTCCTCCTCCTCCTCCTCTTCCTCATTCTCTTCACATACCCCCTCCTCTTTCTCCTCCTCCTCCTCCTCCTCCTCTTCCTCCTCCTCTTCCTCCTCCTTCTCCTCCTCCTCCCCCTCCTCCTCCCTCCTTCTCCTCTTTCTCCTCGTCCTCATCCTCCTCCTCCTCCTCCTCCTCTCCTCCTCCGCCCTCCTCCTCCTCCTCCTCCCCCTCACCCTTTCCCTCCTCTTCCTCCTCCTCCTCCTCCTCCTCGTCCTCCTCCTCCTCCTCCTCCTTCTCCTCCTCCTCCTTCTCCTCCTCCTCCCACTCCTCTTTCTCATCCTCCCCATCCTCCTCCTCCTCCTTCTCCTCATGTAACGTTGCCCGCACGTCCGTTCGCATCTAGAAGCATGAGCTGGGGTGCCCATGCGGACAGTAGCGACTGAAGTCTGGCCCAGAAAGTGTTATGACATGATTGTGCCTTCTTGGCGTGAAGAGCGCGGGCAGCCAAAACGACGAGATGCACCGCAGGCCAGCAAGCTTAATGACTAAACAGACGGGGGTCGGAGTACAAAACTCGGGCTTGTTGAGGCTGGAAGTAAGTTCTATTCTCCCTACCTTGGCGCATGGGACCCTCAAGTTGAGCCACAGCTCCACTCCCAGACCTTCATCGCCTTCACCCTGTGAGGCACCAGAAAAGAAGATCACATAATGGTCTGCATACCGAACTCCCCTGGGGTTGCGTGCCTCCTGGATCCCCACAGCATGTGCCCCTAGGGAGTCCATGTGAAGCCTCAACGCTTTGTTGCGGGCTCCACGCGATTCACCTAAAGCCCCCCAAGGTTTACGATTGGAATAGACCTAGCGTTATACTGCACAACATACAAGGAAACACACGTGCCTTTACCTTTAGTGACCTTAGTAGCCTTAAGGTCCTGGATGTGCACATCCGCTGCCACGCATGATGGCGAAGGGCCTATGACAACATCTTTCCAGGGTGGGAAGGCATCGGCCTTGTGGCCGCTCAACTCACCAACCCACTCCCACTCCATACCATGATGCAGGTCAGTGCACTCGATACTTCCAAAGGGAAGAGAGGAGGGGCTTACATCACCCAGCATGGTACCCCGCGCAATGAAATCAACTAAAGCGTTCCATGGATGCCCGTTGTAGGCCTTAACGTGGGTAATGCGGACTGATCTGCGCTGGCAGAGGACAAGCCACATGGCACAGGTCAACCTAGCAATGAGATCGTCCCTCGAGGGCGCTGAGCCTCCTCGCAGGGCTTTGACCGCGTTCAAAAAGTCACTCTCAGTGTGAACTGGCAAGTCATCAGGCAAATAGAGGAGCAGAAGAATGGTCCACAAAAGAGCAACAAACTCGGAACCCGTGCTGGTTAGGGCGTGGTCTGGCGTCGTCCTGCAAGATTGGCATACTCTACCACCATACCTACCACCATACGCAAATCCCTCCTCATCGTGAAATACTAAGATGCCCAAGCCGCGACTTCATCGTCGGCATTTTTCGACACTGCCATCAGAGAAGCCAGAAATGATGTTCCACCCACCTTGCCTGGGGGGACATATATGATCCAGGGTCGAGGGTTTACGGGCCCCCCCCCCCAGATGGTATGGTCCCAGGATTCCTCGGCCCCCCCCCCAGATGGTATGGTCCCAGAGGACGACGACGACGACGACGACTACGACGACGACGACGACGACGACGACGACGACGACGACGACGACGGCGACGACGACGACGGCGACGACTACGACGACGGTGACGACGACGACGACCACGACGACGACGCCGACGGCTGCGGCGGCGACGACGCCGGCGGCGGTGGCGACGACGACGACGACGATGACGACGATGACAACGGCGACGACGACGATGACGACGACGACGACGAGGAGGACGACGAGGACGACGACGACGACGACGACGACGACCTCTGAACCACCACAGCACCACACCACATCCACGGGGGGGGGAGGGGGGCACCGCAGCGCAGCACCACGCCACGCCCACTTCTGAACCACCACAGCACCACACCACATCCACAGGGGGGAGGGGGGGGGCACCGCAGCGCAGCACCACGCAACGCCCACAGGGGGGGCCGGGGGGGACCATCGCGCGGGGGGGGGGGGCCCAATGGCATCAGCATTGGGGGGGCGGGGGGGGCCAAGCCCTGGACCATATATGCAGAGCGAGTTTGGCCTCTTCGGGTGCCCCTTGAAGCCCCTCAGTACTCGGACCCGGCGGAGGAAAGTAGGGGGCCCCCCGACGCTCTACGACAGGGGGGACAGGCGGAACCCTCAGAGACACCTGAGACCTCACGGGGCTCCTAGCGTGAGGCAGAAAGGTGCCACAGGGGTCCTCGGGGCCCTCTTGAGTTGGGTC